CTCTGTGCCTCCGTACGCACCAAGTCCGGAACAAAAGCTGCAAGTCTGGTAAACTCCCTCTCGTACTCATCAATAGAATGAGTACCCTGTTTGAGCGACAGAAACTGACGCTCCATCTCTGCTCGGTAATATGTAGGATAGTACTTTTTGCGGATTAGATCCTTGAGCCTCTCCCAGGTACAACCCTCTTTCTCACCGGGACGCATACTCCAGTAGGCATTCCACCAGAGTCGGGCATCGTCGGTTAGTTGAAGCTGTGCGCATATAACGCGATATCGATCTGGACAATCCATGACCTCGAAAATCAACTCAAGGCCCTGAATCCACTCGTCCACAATACGGGGATCTCCCTGACCGGAGAATTTCTCAGGATGATAGTCGCGGAACTGTGCGACTATAGTGGCGTGGGGAAGAACCGGGTGATCGGGTTCCCTACGGGGCAGCATCTGAACATTGAGGAAGTTCAATATTATTGAACATATGAAAAATACTTTAACTGATTACTAAAGCACATAAATCTCTTGACTAGTTGCCAAACATGGCTGAAAAATACTGACATTGATCCTGAGGAAATCTAGAGTTATATCTGAGTACACTGATCTATAAGTTCTGAACCTGATTCGAGCATCTTAACTAAGTCATGATTAATAAATTTCTGAGCATAGGCAAAGTAATTTGTTTATAACTTAAAACATAAATCAGCACTTACCTGTAGTCGGCGAGGCGTGAGCGTGACGGTTCAGGTTTTTGCAAAATTTCTGACTTGTAAAACTTTTCAGAGACGCAGAAACGTGCTCTGATACCAATTGTAACACCCCGCTATTTCATAAATTTCAGAGTGCGCTTTTCGCAAATTTTCTAAATAAAATAAATAAAACATTTCTTTTGCGAAATCTGATTCGGGGTGCTACCGTAAAATCTGACTTATTCTGAAAACCGTTAATTTTTGAGTTTAATAATAAAACAATTATATAATATCTTAACCGACTAATGTTGGGTCAAAAGCTGGTTTAGAGGATTGAAAACAGTAGCGGAGTCATAGTGTAGCCAAACAATATTCACATATAAACAAACAGTTGGGCGGTTTTCTAGCCATTTTTTGAAGTAAAAAATGAAATATAGCCACTTTTTGTAAAACAATGAAATCTAGACATTTTAGCACTTAAAAGTACAATTCTACCCTTATTTATTATTTACCTACCAAAGATATTAAAAAAAATAAATAAAATAAAATCTGAAAAAGTTGGATCGCCTCTCTTCCCTCTTCCTTCTCTCTTCTCTCTCTTCCTTCTCTCCTCTTCTTTCTTTCTCGCTCGCGTCTCTGTAAAAAAAAAAAATTCTCATCTTCCCAAAATTCACGTAAGTGAATCATCTGGAACAAAAATCATTTCCAACACATCAAGTGAATCCCTTTTTGAGAAGAAAAAAAGTACATTGACCTAAACCTAAATTTTTTTATTATGTTAAATAAAAAAAATTCGAAATAGATTTTTATATTTTTGTTCCCAACATTATTGATTTATGTTGCACCATTTTATTTTGTTGAAATAATAATTATTTATAGTTAAAAAAATTGATTTTTTGTGCTTGAAAAGGAGGGGTCGTGTGTT